GAATCCGCTGCAAAAGCAATCCTTATGTTGTGTACCACTGAAGGTATAGTTTTGCAATCCGGTGCGAAAGGAATCACTTGTGATCCGCAATGCTAGGATCCATTGTGAAAGCGGCCTCAAGGGGCAAGAGGAATCCGTTTCTGCATGTTCGACAGAAGGGATCCTTTTGCAATCCACCACATAAAGAATATGCTTGTAACCTGCCACGCAAGGCATCTTTTTGTAATCGCCCTGGAGGGGAGGGATCTCCCACCCCAAACAAGTAAGGGCCACACAGGAAGCAATACCAACAACGCAACAACAGGTCAACCCACAATGAAAATATGACAAGCAGCACAGAAAACGCTCGTAACAGGGAAGAGGAAGCATGTGAAACAATTTCCTTTGTGGCGGATTGCAAAAGGCTTCCATTCGTGGCGGGATGCAAAGGACTTTTTCTTTGGCTGAGTTCACAACAATCCCTTTCGTGGCGCATCATATATATATGTATATATATATATATATATATATATATATATATATATATATTCCGGGTCGATTGCAAGAGATGTTCGAATGCCGCGGAGTGTAATAATTCAGTTTGTTCCTCCCCCCCGAAGAGCGTTCCACCGTTTCCTATGGTTCGCTGCGTTTTTACACAGGGTTCCATCTGTTCCATGTTGATTCTCGTTTCCCCTTGGTGTTTTTTGGGGGGATCCCCTTCTCTTTTGCAGCGGTTGCAAAGGGATTTCGTTTGTGGTTGGTTTCACAGAGATTCTTTCTGTAGGGGATTATATAAGGCTTCTTGCTGTGATACATTACGAGGGGATTCCTCTTGAGGCCGTTTGCAACAAGGATTCTTGTTGTTTGGCGGATTGCATGAGGATTCTTGTTTACGCAGTTTCCTCTTGACGCCTTGGGGATTCCTCTGGACGCAGTTTACAGAAGGATCTGTTTTTGGCGGATTGCATGAGGATTCTGGGTGTGGCGGTTTACGCAGGATTCCGTGCGTGACGGATTACACAAAGGGTCCCGTTTTTGGCGGAATGCAAAATATCACTTTCGGGGTTTTGGTTGCTCCGAATCACAAAGGGATCATTCCATTCCTCATGTGGCAACTTCTAGAGGCGGGTGGTCATGGCACGTCCTGTAATGTATTTTTTCTCTTGGGCATTCCATATCTTCCATCTTGTCGCTGTTCACGTATGTTGGTTGCCGTCTGGAGCCCCGTGTCCGTTATCCGGATCATCATGTGACTACGCGTTTACATACCAATGCGCTAGCCCACCCAGCGCTGTTCGATCTCGCATGGAGATTGAGGGCGATGGGAAGAGGATTATGATAACACTGATTAAAATACTGGCAATGGGAGAGGTGTGTATATATATATAGAGAGAGAGAGAGAGAGAGAAACAACAACGATAAAACCAGACAGAGAGAGAGGGGGAGAGACAGATAAAGAAAGAGCGCGAGAGGGAACGGCAGAGACAGAGATAGAGAGCGACAAAGGAGGGGAAGCGAGGAGAAGGGAGGGGGAAGACAGGAATAGAAGAAACATAGAAGAGGGTAGGCGGTGGATGGGAGAGAGGGAGAGGGAGTCAACGAGGACAGGGAAACATAATGGAGGAAGGGCAGGAGGGAGAGGGGGCAGCATGCGGGAAGGGAAAGGAAAAACGGACGGGAACGGAATGAGGACGCAGAAGGAGAGAGAGAGAGGAAGGAGAGGGGACGAATGATTGGATTTGTATTGGAAGCTTGCTTTTTGAATGCGGAAAAATGGTTTTTGAATTCAAATTTTGTTTTTTTGAATTCAAGAATTGGTTGTTTGAATTCAAAGACGGGGAGGTCAGTGGATTTGTGAATTCTGTGGTGGCCCGCATGTTCAGACCATTGGTTGCGATCCATAACGGGCGGGAGAGAATTGGTAGCGAAGGAACAGAAGCAAGTACACGGGATAATTCTGCCGAACAGAAATGCGATGGTGAGAGCCCAAGAACTCGCAAACATCGATCAAGGGGGCGTCGATTAGCGACGGGTCCCGTTTCCACGGGAAAATCGCGGATGTCCGCCGCCGACCGAGGCGGCACGCCCGATGCATGAATTTGGCGACCGCGCGCCAAATCCATGGATCGCTACTCCATGTTTGCGCGCCCCCGGTAGAAACACGGAAATGGGAGATCGGGAGCTTTGAGACGGGGGTCAATGCAAACGGGGGTCAGCCAGAGCGCCAGATCTTGCAGGATCCTGCAGGGCCAGGCTCCCATTGACCCGGGTTTGGGTGCAGGATACTGCAGGATCTTGCAGGATCCTTCGCATTGACCCGGGTTTGGGTGCAGGGTCTTGCAGGATCTTGCAGGATTCTGCAAGCCCTGGCTGACCCGGGTCTGGGTTGACCCGGGTCAGGAGATCCCCGAGGAGATGCAGCCGAACAGGAATGCGATGGTGAGAGCCCAAGAACGCACCCCGACAATCCTTTGGCCCCGAGTACCTATACACCGTGCACGAGAAGATGAAGGAGAAGGAAGAGAAGGAGGCGGAATCCGTCAACAGTTTGGATGAGGTCTGCTGTGGTTTCAAAAGTGGTTCCTTGCGCATTTGGGCGCGACTATTCCCCAAAGGGGCTTCGTTCCTTACCCAAGGATCTTGGTGACACATCTTAGACTTCAAGGAGTAAAAAGGCAAGGCGGAGGAAGGGGATGAGGAGGAGGAAGAGAAGGCGGAGGAAGAGGAGGAGGAGGAGGAGGAGATAGAAGCGCCTCGAAGAGCTTGAGGCACCTCCGCCCATCCGCCATCCCTGAGCCCCTGCCTTCGCGCACTCCTCTTGACCCCTCATCGACGCTGACCTTCCTCAATGAGGCCGCTTCCAGAGACTTAACGTCGTCATTATCCTGTCTCTCGTCGTGCTGCTCCCTCCTCTCCCCCTCCCCTCTCCTGCACTCCGGGACCCCCAAGAGAAGGGCAATGTGCTGACAGTGGCAGCAGCAGGAACAGCAGCAGCTAGGGCTGGAAAGCGAGCGTGGGAGCAACAGGAGGGATCTCGGGGGGGCGAATACAGCGTGACCCCCAAGAGGAGGACAAGATCTCGCAGAAAGAGAGCGAGCTGACCACCACGAGAGCCGACCTGGAAGCCACCCAGGATGGCCGCATCCGGCGACCGCCAGCTGCCGGCGCAGACATTAGCCCTTCCTGGCCGCGGCTGCTTATTGCCAACCGCTGCGCAGCTGACCTCCTCGCTCCGCGCTCGTCTCCTCCCCCACCCTTCCCTCTCGTTGTCTCTCCTCCCCCTCCTCCGTGTCCTCCTCTTCCTCGTGGCGGAAGGCCAGAGTCGATCACCGCGTAAGCCGCTGCACTGCAGAGTGATCCTGCGGAGTGTCGGCGGTGGGCGCGAGGGTGCTCTGGTCTCTGCTCTCTGTTCTCAAGGCACAGCGTCAGGCGCTGCTCTGCTCTCTGCTCCCCTCTCTCTGCTTCTCTCCTCACCCATCCCTCCACCATCCCTCGCCCCTCCCTCTCGCCTTATCCCGCCCATCTTCTTGTTTCTATGTTGTCTCGCTCCTCCCTTTTCAACTGTTCATGCTCCTGCGCCTCCTCATCGCTATGATGTTATGGTATGTGCGGGCTCATTCCACACCAGGGGCAGCTGGACAAGGCGGTGGCCTATTACGAGGCAAGCGGCATGGATCCTCTCTGCCTTGAGTACGACGCAGCAAGAGGTAATGGTATGTGCATCACGTATGCGAGGAAGTGAAGGGTAGGAAAGATAAGAAAGAGCGTGTTCTACCGCTGCTGGCGGAAAACCAGGGGGGGTCACTACCGGTTCGAACCCCTCCCCCCCCCCCCTCTGGAAAACCGGGGGGGGTCACTACCGGTTCGAACCCCCCCCCCCCACTCTCACTACCGGTTCGAACCCCCCCCCCCCGAAAACCGAGGTTCGGAAAACCGAGGGGGGGTGCGGACAGTGGTGGGGACGGTGGTGGTGGGGACAGTGGTGAGGGGACAGCGGGACAGTGGTGGGGACAGTGGGACAGTGGTGGGGACGGTAGTGGTGGGGACAATGGTGAGGACAATGGTGGGAACAGTGGGGACAGTGGGACAGTGGTGGGGACGGTGGTGGTGGGGACAGTGGTGTGGGGACAGTGGGAATGTGGTGGGAACAGTAGGACAGTGGAGGGTACAGTGTTGGTGGGGACAGTGGTGAAGGCGGGCGGTGGCGAGGACGGAGGTGGGACAATGGGACAGACAGAGGTACAGTGGGGACAGTGGTGGGGACAGTGTGGACAGTGGTGGGAACAGTGGGACAGCTCAGGTTCGAACCGGTAGTGACCCCCCCCTCCGGTTTTCGGGGGGGGGGTTCGAACCGGTAGTGACCCCCCCGTTTTCCAGGGGGGGGGGGGGGAGGTTAGGGGAGGGGGGTGGTTCTGCCGGGGGGGAAGGGGGGGGGAGTCCAGCAGGGGGGGGGAGGATTTTCGGAGGGGGGGGGGGAGACCCCTGGGCTCCGGAGGAAAAGGGCGGCAATTAGTTTTCCACAGTAAAGCGGCGGTGGATCACGCTCTCTCAAAGATCAGGATGGAGAGAGGGAGAGCGCAACATAAAGAAATACTTTTATTGTAGAGACGGAGAGAGACAGATAAGCACTTACATACACAGTAAGTAAGAGAGAGAGAGAGAGAGAGAGAGAGAGTCAGAGACAGGAAGACACCCAGAAATATCGACAGATATTGAACTTGATTATATATAAAGAGAGGAAGAGACAGAGACCGAGACAGACAACGAGAAAACAAGACATAGAGAGAGAGAGAGAGACAAATCACATAAGACATTGAGCTTCCGGATCAAAGGGAAGAGTTGGTGTCAGGCAGGGCTCGATTCATGAAGCCGATGGATGCGAAGGGGACGACTAGTTGCATCATGCATATATCTTGGGGGTGCGTGCGCATTAATGGCTTAGCGAGGTTTGGGGTGTCGGTCTCATCGATCCTCATCGTGTCACTCAGCAGTCATCCTGGCTCTAGAGTCTTCACCGCATGCAGTCTGCGGTCGGTGTCCTCGTGGCCACCCTCACCTTCATTCTCCGCGACGCGGCCGATCGGACGTGGCGCGGCGAGCCTTCCGCTCCTCTGGCGCCCTGCGACACGAAAGTTGAGGTGAGCTGCCCCGAGTCGGCGGTCGCGCCTGGGATCGTCGAGGACATCGTGAGGCGGGTGAAGGCCCAGGACTGCGTGTGTGTTGTCGATTGCCAGTCGTACGAGAGGGACCTCAGGCTGGTCGGTGGTACGGGGCTCGTGCTGATCGTGGGCCAGCTCTTCGCCTTCTGCGTCATCAGTCGTTGCCCTCTCAGGCGACAAGATGGCCCTCGTCGGTCTCCCCCACCCACGCCTGGGGGCCACAGGAAGGCAACTTTCGGTGCAGGAGTTATCCAATAGCCTTGAGCCTGGGAGATGCCTGGCCATCAAGTACCCTGGGGGAGATCTTTGCCACGAGAGGGTCGCGATGGGCCCGGGGTTTCGCGCGGCCGACGGACTCGTTGGTCGGTGGTGGGTGCTTACCCCAGATGGGGACTTTTACGATGAGGATATCACGATGGAGGGCGAGGAGGGCGAGAGTTTGATGGTGCTCGACCTGATGGCCAACTGCCCTGCCTCGCTTCGCGGGAAGTTCTACAGGTTCGCGGCCGACGCCTACCCCTCGTCCGACCAGATTCGTCGGGAGGCCAAGGCCGCGGTCGCGCGGATGCGGGGCGCGGGCCAGGAGCCGCCGCCGCTGACGCATTTCGTGAGTGACCAGGGCCAGCTCGCCCCCTTGACAGGGGTCGGCCGCCGCCTTCGCCTCGGGGCCGCGCCCGCCGCGGGCGGCGGTGAGCCACCCGCTGCGGCCGGGGGCACGGACACCCCTCCCATCGGCGCCGGCGCGGCCGAGGGCGAGGCGGGGTCCGTCGCGCCCTACCTGGCGGCGCTCCCTGAGAGGCCCGCGCTTCGCGACGACTGGGTCTGGATCATCGCGGAGAACGCTGAGGGCGCCGACGCGCTGGGCAGGGAGGTCACCCTCCAGGCTGGCGACGTCGCGGTCACCCGCACCGACGCCCTAGTCCGCCGACGCGGCGGCTTCCTGCGGGCTCGAGCCGTCGCCAGCTCCGATAGCCTGGAGTTCGTGCGCGGGCTTAGGGCCCGCTACTCTGGCCTTGACGTCCCCGCGGGTGCGGCGGCCCTCCGAGGCCATGGCCCTCCCTCTGCTGGGCTTGACGCCCACGACGACGACGTCCGCACGCTGTGGGTCGACTATGACGAGACGAGGTCGGCGAGAGGTTCAAGGCTTGGAAGAAGGCCGCCCAGGAGAGCAGGGAGGGGCCCATCAAGGCCATCGAGGTCCAGGGCCCCCCTGGCGCTCTCCACCTCGCTCGCCACGTCGAGCGCTACGGCGGTGACCCGAGGCGCTGGTGGCAGGAGTTCGCGCGGAGCAACAACATCGGGAAGATCGACGGGGTCTTCCACTAGATGACCACGCTCATGGAGAGTTTCAAGTTGTTCGGCGAGTACGACCAGCTCAACCTCGGCGCGTCGGCGGGCATCGAGAAGCTGGTGCGCCGCATGCTCGGGGTGATCGACGCGTACTCCTCGGGCGGTGGCGCGCCGTCCTGGCGCGTGGCGGCGGTCTACGAGGGCGAGGCCAGCTACGGTGACGCCATCGCCCCCGCCCTTCGCAAGTGGGGCGTCAACAAGCTGAAGGACCAGATCGAGATGGATGCCTCCCGCGCCCGCCACCCCCGCCCTGCCGAGGGCGACGACGGGGCGGGAGGCCAGGGGGCCGCCGACGGCGGCCGCGGCCGCGGCGGCGGCGGTGGTCGGGGCGGGCGGGGCGGCAAGACAGGCCCCGCAGCCCCGAGCAATGATTGAGCAGGGTTACGGACCGTGGACAGGCCCTCCGCGCCGCGGCCCTCTGAAGGTGGGGGATTTTCGGGCGCCTGGTCGCCCCCCTCTTTTTGAGCAGTTCCCGCTGGCCGTTCCTCAGCGAGAACGCGCTCCTGGTGCTGGCGGGCGTCGTGCTGCGCGCTATCGTGCTCGGGACCACGTTCGACAGCTGGTGGAAGGGGCGTCTGGTGCACTTAATTGGCTTGCTAAGACTGATGATCACCGCCCGCCTGGGCTTCGAGGTCGCCCAGGCCACGCCAGTGCGTCGGTAGGCGGTCGCAAGGCCGCACCCCGACTTGACGAGAGCCTGGCTTACCTCGAGGCTCTGGCGGAGCTTCAAGTGCGTGACGGAGGTCGTGATTCTCACGTGCCGCCAGAAGCGGCCCTTCGGGAGTTGCTCTGTGACAAGGCATCTGGCTACAGGATGGATGCCTCATCGACTACACTCGCGCCGTACCAGCGTGGTCGGGTCTCCCTGCCCGAGAAGCGCACCACCGTGCCGAACGTCTCAGACTCGGTGGGTGGCCGTGGCCGATCCTACCTGGCGGGCGCAGGAGAGCGCATGCTGGACCCGACTGCCACTGACGTTAGTGATGATGCTGCTGAGCGATGCTACGTTGACCCCCAGCTCGCCAGCAACCCCGCGCTCTGCGCCCGCTTCATTCGCGATCTCAAGGCTAGGAACATGCTGGTCTTCGGGCGCTGGGCTCATGAGCGAACAGGACTCTTTTTTTGTACGCGAGAAGAATGGGAAGCTCCGCCTCATACTGGACGCACGGCGGACCAATCGGAGGTTCTCTTCGCCGCCGCAAGTCGACCTTTTGACGGACGAGGGTCTGGGCCGAGTTGAGGTGGAGCTCCCTGGTGGACACGACTACTCATCCCTCTACTGCGGCACCGCAGACGTTCATGACGCTTTCCACAGGATGGGCATCCCCCCATGGTTTTCGAGATGGTTTGGCCTGCCCCAGGTTCGTGCAGGCGATGTGGGCATCACGCAGACCCTGGACGGCGACGTGGGCCCCGACGATCTGATCACGCCTATGCCCCGATGTCTGCCCATGGATTATCGTGGAGCTTGTTCTTGGCGCAGGACATCGATGAGGAGGTCGCCAGCAAAGTTTTGGACCGCGCCGAGCTCCTGCAGGACCGAGGCCGCCCGTTGGTGCTTACGCTGCGCGGCAAGCTCGCCACGGGCACGAGGCACTACATCTACGTGGACAACATCGGCGTCTTCGGCTCCGACGGGGTGATCGTTGCCTCTAGGCTCGAGGACGTCTGTGCGGCCTTCGAGGCGAGGGGCCTCGCCGTGCATGAGGTGTCCACCTCCGACTCGGGCGTGGAGGCCTTGGGCGTTCCATTGGGCGGTCGGCGGCGACACACCAGGCTGACATCTAAGCGGTTTTGGCGAGTGCGGGGCGCCCTGCTCGCTCTCGCTGCTCGTCGTCGCGTCACGGGCCGCCAGGTGGAGGCCGTGATAGGCCACGCCACCTTCTGCGGTCTGGTTCGGCGCGAGACGCTCACGGTCTTCTCCACCGTGTACCCGTTCATCAGGAGGCACTACGACGAGCCCGTCATGCTCTGGGCCTCCGTGCAGGACGAGCTGCGCGTGTTCGCTGGCCTCATGATTATGCTGGTCTCCAGTTGGGAGTCCGATTGGAACCCGCCCGCGATGGCCACGGACGCCTCGGAGTGGGGGTACGGCATCTGCTCGCGCTGGTTCGACCCCGTGGACGTAGCCGCGGTGGGCCGCTGCAGGGAGCGGGACCGCTACCTCTCCGAGGACCACGTGGCCGCTAGGGCGGCCGCACTGGGCGGGGAGGCTGCCTCGCCCTCGCCCGAGAGCATCGGCGTTGAGGGATGATTGGGCCGCGACGACCTACTCCCTGACCCTGGCTTCTCGGAGGTGCCCACCTTCATGACCGAGCAGGCTGCCTGGACCACCGTCGACGGGTGGAAGTTCAATCTGGTTGAGGATATCATGGTGCTCGAGGCGCGGGCCCTCCTTCGTGGGTTGGAGCGAGTGAGCCGCACGCGTTTCGGACGCAACATCCGTCAAGTTCTTTTTGCTGACAACCTCGGCCTGGTGCTATCTGTCGGCAGGTGGCGTTGCCGTAACTTCAAGATCTTGGCTATACTGAGGAGGATGGCCGCATGGTGCCTCAGCCGCAACATTCACTTGTCCGTTCGGTGGATCCCGTCGGAAAAGAACCCCGCCGACGGCCCTTCTCGTCTCTTCCAGCCTTCCGCTCGGCCTGCTGCTTGTAAGGAGGACGACGCTGCCCGACCCCCTCGCTTAAAGCACGCCCCCTTTGGTTTGAATAAGACCCTTGGAAGTGCGGGAGAACCTGGGGACCAGCCCAAACCCGAAGAAATGTTTATGTCTCGGCGCCTGTACAGTCCTATTCCGTTAGATGATGGCTCCCGTTCTGATCATGTCCCCCAACTGGAAAAAAAGGAAACTTCGACCTGCTGCGCCTCGCCGAGCCTCCGTAGGCGATTTGGCTCGAGCCACTTCATATGCTTCCGAACCCCTCTACATTGCAGTCCCGCACTCGTACCCTCCGAGCTACCCGCTCCGAGTCGCGACCGGCAGGCCGTGCCACTCGCAAACGCCACGTGAGCAGCAGCGCGGCCCCATCCGCATCACGGCCTCGCTCTTCCCGCACCCCGACGTCGACGCATCGGCGAGGCTTGGAGGCGCTGAAGGACCGTGCGGGCCTGACGGACCTCTCGGACAGCGAGGTGGTCGCGCTGCTCGAGGAGCTTCGGAGCGTGCTCGACTCCGACCCGAAGTTTGCGAACGTCTCGAGCTCGGAGTCAGAGACGGAGGCGCCCGCCAAGTCGCCCGCCAGGCGTCGTCGGATTGTCCCTCGGACGCAGCGGAGCGCCTTGGCGAAGTTGCTGGAGTCGCCCACCATCCCCGAGCTGTCGCACCTGACGATCGGGGAGCACGCGGCGGCGAGGCCGCGCACCGAGTCTCAGTGCGCCCAGGAGGTTCATCAGTTCAGCCGCTACGCGGGCGTAGCCAGGGTGATCGACGTCCCGTTGGACGACCTCGACGATCTGCTGGTGAAGTTCATGGGCCGCCAGATCCGTCGGGGCGTCTCGGCCGCCAAGGGCATGAAGCCGTTCGCGGGCGTCGTGCACGCGCAGCCGAAGGCGGGCAAGGGCGGGCCGCGCACCCTGCTTCGGAGTTGGCGGGCCCTGAAAGGCTGGCAGAACCTCTGCCCGTCGACATCGCGGCTTCCCGAGGCCTGGCCGATCTGGTGCGCGGTGGTCAACGGCCTCTGCGCGCTTCGGCGTTTCGACATGGGCCTGTTCTTGTGCCTGATGTGGAGCACCTACGCCCGCCCGAGCCAGCTGATGGCCTTGCGGCCCGACCTCTTCTCCCCCAGCCGCGTGGCCACCTACTGGACCGTCCAGCTGAACCCAGAGTGCGAGGGTGTCCCATCGAAGGCCAAGGAGTTCGACGTGACGATCGAACTGGACCACAGCTGGTGAGAGAGCCTGGCGCCGCTGCTGGACGTCCTGCAGTCGCGGCCCAAAGGAGAGAGCGTCTGGGCCTTCACCTTCCCCCAGCTCGCCGCGACGGTGCAGATGGTGTCTCGGGACCCGGGGTTCAACCTCGTGGTCTACCAGGCCCGCCGCAGCGGGGCCAGCTCGGACATGTCCTCACGCAAGCGGTCCTTGGCCGAGGTCAAGAAGCGCGGGGGCTGGAAGTCCGACAAATCAGCGGTTCGTTACGAGAAGGGCGCTCGGCTCAGCTCGACTTGGATGGCTCACCCGCCTTGGCTTCGCACTCACGCCGTGCACTGCGAGGAGAGATTCGTGGAGATCTTGGTGCGCGACCTGGTGCTGCCAAAGCCCGCTTCTCATTCCCCGTGAACAAGAGGAGGCTCTTTGCGTTGGTCATCGGTAGTCTCTTCGTGCAGCCGAGCGAGGTGGTTAAGGCAGGTTTTTCAGTTAGATACATACCAGATCAGAATTTGGATGGCGTCGTGTCTTTTCGGCTGAGGTATGACCTCCGTGCTGGCAAGATTGTGGCCATCGTTATATCTCTCTCCTCTGAGCTGCTGACGACAGGTCTGGTTCGGCTCATCTCTGTCGCCAACAGATGGGGAGTTCCTTCAGTGATTAGTTGCTTCTCTTCGGTGAGTGATGCAGTTTCCTGTCGTTTCCCTGCTCTAGACCTCGGTTGCCTCGTTTCACACATGTGTCGGTACAAGGGTTGTGCTCGCTTCGGTGTTTCTACTTTTATCATGCATGTGATGTCTGACGACGCCACCCGCCTTGGCCTAAGGTGCCCAGGCGCTCGGGCCCGAGATGGCCACAAGCAGCACGTCGCCGTGCCTCGCGCCTCTGAGCTGGTCCCCAAATGTTTCCAGTCGGCCGTGTGCTTCACTGTTATATCGGCCCTTCGGGCCCGCTACCTTACGGTGTGAGAACAGCTTCTGGTTTGGGAATCTGAGTCGGGTGTGACTTTGACGAGGCGGGGCGAAGCCCTCGCCCCCTTCTGTCTCGGATCCGAGTCGCTTTGACCAGCGAGTATAGTAGAGAGAATCGTTCCCCGCTAAGAAACAAGG